TTCTTAGGGATGCCAAAAGAAGTTACCACAAACTTGTTGGCTTAAAACAATAGAAATGCATTCTTTCATAGCTCTGGAGTCTAGTAGTCTAAAACCAAGGTCTCAGCAGCATTGGTTCCTTCTAGATTCTAAAGGAGAATTCATTCCATGCTTCTCTCCTTCATTCCTGTGGCCATTTATGCATGTAGATCTAGTTTCTCCAATACCATTTGTTGTAAGGCTATTACTTCCCCCATTTAATTGTCTTGGTGTCTTTTTTAAAAGTCAACTGACCGTATAAGTTAGAATTTAGTTCTGGACTCCAAATTCTATTTCATTGATTTTTATGTTTATTTTTATGGCAGTGCCATAATGTCTTGGAGAAAAAATGGCAACCCACTGCAGTATTCTTGCCTGGAGAATCCCATGGACAGAGGAGCCTGGTGGGCTTCAGTCCATGTTGTTACTGCTGTCATTCAGTCACTCAGTTGTGACCCCATGGACTGCAGCACGCCAGGCCTCCCTGTTCTTCACCATCTCCCAGAGCTTGCTGAAACTCATGTCCACTGAGTCAGTGATGCCACCCAACCATTTCATCCTCTGCTGCCCCCTTCTCCTCCTGCCTTCAATCTTTCCCAGCATCAGGGTCTTTCCCAATGAGTCGACTCTTTGCATCAGGTGGCCAGAGTATTAGAGCTTTAGCTTCAGCATCAGTCCTTCCAATGAACACCCAGGACTGATCTCCTTTAGGATGGACTGGTTTGGTCTCCTTGCTGTCCAAGGGACTCTCAAGGGTCTTCTCCAGTACCACAGTTCAAAGGCATCAATTCTTCAGCACTCAGCCTTTTTTATTGTCCAGCTCTCATATCTACACGTGACTACTGGAAAAACCATAGCTTTGACTATATGAACTTTGGGTCCAAAAAGTCCACAGAGTCGCAAAAAGCTGGACATTACTGAGGCAACTTAGCACAGCACCTAAGCCACATAGTTTATGGCATTTTGTAATAGCAGCCTGAATGGATCAAGACATTGTTCCTAGCTGGAACACCCAGTACAGTGTTGACTAAAAATGGTAAAAGTGACACATTTGTGTTGTTCCTAATCTTAGAAGGAAAGCAATCACTCCTTCACCATTAAGTAGGACATTAGGCATAGGTTTTCATAGATGTTCTTCATCAGTTTGGAGACCTTCTCTTCTGTTCATAGTTTGTTCAGGAATTTTATCCTGAGAAAAGCTGGATTTTATCAAACACTTTTACTAGTATTTTGTTGAAAATGGGTTTTCACCTATATTCATAAGAGATTAACCTGTAGTCTTTTTCTCTTGCAATGTCTTTGGTTTTGGTATCCAGTTAAAACTGGCCTTAGAGGATGGGTTAGCAAGTGTTCCCTTCTCTTCTGCTTTCTGGAACAGTTTGTGAATTGAATTCTAAATTTTTCTGATGTTAAAATTAGAACCCCCATTTTATGTATTTTATGTATTGGAGCTGCAGCTTCAATATCAGTCATTCTGTCAAGGGAGTGTATAATTTCCTTGGTTCTGTCTCATCACAACAAAAATTTGAAGCGATGGGCGTTAAAGCCCTCAGCGTGTCACAACTCTCAGACAGTGTTGCAGATTCATGTTACCACTTCTTGACCTGCATACAGATTTTCAGGAGGCAGGTCACATGGTCTGGTATTCCCATCTCTTAAGAATTTTCCAGTTTGTTGTGATCCACACAGTCAAAGGCTTTAGCATGGTCAATAAAGCAGAAGTAGATCTTTATCTGGAACTCTTGCTTTTTCAATGATCCAACAGATGTTGGCAACTTATATACCTAGGAAATTTGCCCATTCTTTTATTTTCCATTTTTAAACTATTTTAAAACTGTGTCTTATACCAACATAATTGTGTTTTGTTTTGTGATCCAAACAGCTATTTTTTACTAATGGTAAAGGTTGAAAGCCAGTTTGAACAAATTGAATGTCAATTCTGAGCATTTGCATTTGGCAGAGATTTTTCATGTTATATTGGATGTCATGTAAAACACTAACTTGGAGAAAGAGGACAGAGGAGGATTCTTAGTTATTTATATGTACCTTTCTGCCATGAACCTGATTAAGCAACACAAATATGGAAGTGAACCCAGTGAAAACTGGGGCTGCGGAAACTTGAGAGTTGAACAAGCCTTTGAGATAGGTAGGAACAACATAGGGCTTCCCTGGTGGCTCACGTGGCAAAGAATCCGCCTGCTTTGTGGGGAGACCTGGGTTCAAAACCTGAATTGGGAACATCCCCTGGAGGATGGCATGGCAACCCACTCCAGCATTCTTGCCTGGAGAATCCCCATGGACAGAGGAGCCTGGCAGGCTACAGTCCCTGGGGTCACAAAGAGTTGGACACAACTGAGCGACTAAGCACACACAGGAACAAAACAGGGGAAAAGGAGGAGTAGGTCCTTTATATTTGTGGTAATCCTTCTAAGTGTCAGATGCCTCACCCCACTGACTCATATAATATTCCTAACAATCTTCCCAAGTCCTACTTCACATACGAGAAAACTAAGGTTTCAATAGCTTTCTGTCCCTCAAAGTGTGGCTATCAGACCATCAGCATCACCTAGGAGTTTGTTAGAAATGCAGAACCTGAGGCTTCACCAACCTACAGATGCAGAATTCACAGGTGATTTGTATGCACATTAAATTTTAAGAAAAACTAGTGATTTTCCCAAGGTCAAAGCATATAAATAGCGGAAACTGATTCCAAAGCCTGTGGTCCTTGCTCTGCATCTACAACACAGTCAAGATAAGTCAGAGATTAAATTCCTCACTCTAGCTGAGCAGAAGAGATCAAGTCATAAGATCAGGCATCAATTTTCTCATCTGTTGAAGAGTTAATCATCATCATAAAACTGATTCCATCTCGCAGAAAAAATAAGGTGCTTTGAACACCTAGAACAACAAATAAATTCTAAGACAATAAAAGTTTGTCATAATGAATGCTGTTTAAAATTTTAAAGTCACCTTAAGCCCCAGGTCCTTTACTCTATAAGATTTAAATCTGTTGCAATGAGATCTAAGTTTATTCCTCAGCCATGCTAATAGCTCTGTACACACTGTATGTTCATCCATGCTTCTGAGTCCTTTCAGACTGGAAAGAGAATCCTATTGCAGCAATCACTCAATTTATTTATTTAGATTTTTTGGTGGCACCTCAAGGCTTATGGGATCATAATTTCCCAACCAGGGGTCAAACCAGGACCTATAGCAGTGAAAGCACCGAATCTTAACCACTGGACCACCAATAAATTCCCCTATCACTCAACTTAAATGTGGAAAACAAAGGAAAGTCTTTCAGTTTAGTTCAGTCACTCAGTCATGTCCGACTCAGCAACCCCATGGAATGCAGCACACCAGGCTTTCCTGTCCATCACCAGCTCCCGGAGCTTGTTCAAAGTCTTTCAGAGAATGTTATAATAATTCTTCTAGACCTGGGCCTAGGCCGTTAGTGAATGCAAGTTAAAACAGATTCAACTCAAATTCTGAATGAAAGTTTCTTACAAAATCCAAAAGTGTGCTTCTTTTAATCCTGTTTCCCAGACTATTCTGCACTGCGTTTTTTTTTTTCAATTTTAGAGGAAATATTGTTTACGTTTGTTTTGTTTTGTTAGAAAAGAAAAAAGTTGGTGCACTTTGGATCTAGCCCCGGTGCTCAGAGATAGGCCAGCTTGTTCTGCTCTGTGGGCTTAAAAGAGCCTCTTTTAAAAGAGTAAAACCATAAAACAATTCAGCATCATAACTGCTTACAATGAGACCTCCTAACTTGAGAACCTGCATCATCTGCCTCAGAGACCATTGCATACTGTACTCTGCTTGCATCCTTGAGAATTTTAGAACTGAGGACCACTTCAGAATAAGTTTCATAAATAATTAACACAGCTCCATTGCTTCAGTTGCAAAAATTAGCCTCAGTTTTTGGTTACTTAATTCTCTCAGTAAAACATAGCTGTTTTTAAAGCACTGGTTTTATGAGGACACACTGTATTCATGGATGCTGTGGGGGTCTTTGCAAATTTTCCCAGCTGGCATTCTCTGTAACGACATCCTAGGGATAAAACAATTAGAGAGATCACATATCAGGATTTACACAGCAAATAAATCCTTTAGATTAGTACTTCCCCAGGCCAAGGCGCCTTTCAGGGGTTAGGCTAAGGTGAGGTGAGTGGAGAAGCAGGTAAATATGAGAGATAAAATATTTAATAGCTCTTAAATAAAACATATCTGGATAATTTGGGCCAGGCCCTCTCCCATAGATCCTTTCTGTTTATTCTCACCACACCTTTATAGACAAGGTAGGTAGTGTGAGGCCATTTACAAAGAATGGAGGTTCAGAGAGACTGCCAATCTGTCCAAAATCACACAGCCCATCAGTCACACCAGAGGCTGGAGCTCAGGGCTGTCTGACATCTTACAATCAGGTCAGCATACGATGCTGTATTATGTTTACAAGTGTTTTCGTTTTTTGTTAGTTTGGGGTTTTGTTTGTTTGGTCAACTGGTTTCTTTTCTTTAGTTGTTGGTCCTCTCTGGGCACTATTAAGCCACAGGTATATAATCCAACTCACTTTTCGCTAAAGACTTTGGACAAGATACTTTAATTGACCTTAATATTAAATCTTCCCAGGAAAGTCTTTAGATTTCAATAATCATTGCTTTACTACAGGAGGAAAGTTAAAGACTGCAACAAAGTAGAAATGCTAACCCTGTTGAGTGCTTTTCTACAAGTGCCTGTTGTTTCTCTGAAATAATTGACTAATTTTTCCTTGGCACATATGTACAATATGAATTCAAGAACCAAGCAGTGTCTAGAAATTATCATCAGGACTTTGCAGGCAGGAGCAGCAGGAAAGGCAGAAAAGCATCTCAAAAAGTCACTATATATATGTTTCTATATAATTTACTTTTTTTTCTATTTTTGTTCTATGAAATTTAAAAATTCTCACCTATTGCCAAACATTGGGGAATAAATTGCTATGCTTCTTTTTTTTTTTTTTTTTTGAGTTTAGAACTCAAACCTTTATTCACTCTGTAAAGGGGAAGAAAAGTGTTAGTAGTCATATACATGATGCAACAAGGACTGGTTCTTACCATACAGAGCAACATAAAAGAACCCTTTCCACCTGTTTTACAGTTTCAATTTCACAACAGCTTATTTCCCCATACATGCATGGCTAATACTCTTTACATTCCAATGACAGTAACTGTATCACATGCCCAAGTTACAGGTTAAGAACAGAACTATCACGTCAACATACTTGTAAACATTAAAACGAGAGAACCCAGAAAAATTCCGTGTCTTAAGTACTGAGGATCTAAGATTCTCAAAACGAAATTCAATGGGAAAAGGGACAGGATAAAAAGTCACTGGTTTTATCACAAAGGATTGATACTTCCCTAAATTTTTACAAACATACATAATGCAGGCAAAAAACTCCCCACCCCCAGTTTTGCTCTCATTTCCCTACGCAATTTTGGTTGTTTCCCCTCTAGTACTCCTTCACTTAACACAAACATTCAAACTGAAGATGGAGTAAACTATTAACTGGAACTTTAGCAAGGGTACATAGATTGTTTGCTACCAAATATTACAGTATTTAGAGAGTGATCATGATTTAAGTTCTCCTTGTTACAATGAGGATGGAAAGAAAGCGCTTTGGCTATTACTAATTACTCATTACAAAGAAAAGACAAGATGTTTATAAGGTAGGAAGTAATATACAAAATTCCTTTAGAAATTGTGTTTTCACTTTGCTCAAACTTTCAACTGCAAAATACCAAGTGAACAAAAATGTTACAAACCCAGAAGAGGGCATCTAAGCATCTTAAGTGCATACCAAAATCTCAAAATACTTTAAAAGCCCACAATTTGGGTATTTAAAGTCTTTTCTGAAACTAGTCCCTGAACATTGCACACCTTCATATAACACTTAAGAAGCTTGCAAAGCAGTGAAAGATGTTAATCTGATGCCAAGTCCCTGACACCAATCTCTCAATAGACTGATATCCAGGTTTCAGTTACCTGTTCAGTCTTCCCCTTCTTGTAAGCAAAGCAAAACAGTTTTGCTTTGGAAAAATCCTTCCCCACGCTTAGCAGTTTTAAGCATTGCAGAAACTTCTCAAGTAACAATTTAACTAGCATTAACAAGGTAGCATTTTCTTTGCCTTTGAGCTCTATACCCCAGAGCTCTGCCTACTGATCTTTTCTCCAGAGAATTCCCTTCAACCCACATTCCCTACCACTCCCACCCTCTACAAGCCACACCTAATCCCAACCTTCTTTTCTTCACCTCACCCTTCCTAGCATCAGGCTGTTTTCCACCCCACAACCCTTCACCTCAGAGCCCTTCCACTTGAACACTAAGATTACTCTGAAATCTAATCAAGTAAGTTAAGAAGCATATAGAGCAAGATGAACAGAATACTATCGGTATCCTGACTATTCCCTTCTGGTAACAGAAGTGACCAAACTAAACCTGCCGTTAACAATCACAATCTGGACATGACCATCTCGCGCCCTCCCACCTACCACAGCACAATGACCACGACCGCCCCCCCACCCCCCAACTTCGCCAGTTGGCTTCATTTAAGTATTTGCCTAATGCATTTCAATCTAGAACACTTTCCCAACACACACATTATGTATCACACTAAGAATTCCTCCAACAAAAGCACAGGCAGGCAGGCGGGTAGATGAGGGTCACTGGGATCCATGTGCAAGCTCCATCTACAAGGCATCATCTGTGTTGTGGCATCACCGTTAAAATGTTCTACAGCTTAAGAGTCTTCTGGAAACAAGGTTCGCAGCACACTAGTATGACAGGAGACAATTTAGAAGACGGCAGCATCTGAAACCTCCAACCCAGGAGACGTGCCTGCTGACATTCACGTGCCCAGAGATCGTTGCTCCCGGATCAAACACTCAAAGCAACACATCTGCTGATGGCCCCGGATCCATCTGCTTTGGCATTTTAAAGACTGCCCCCTCATAAGCTCATGAACACTTTAAAGGATGGCCTCCTGAATACAGGGCTTCCTGAGCAAGGCCTGGAAACATGCCACTGGAGAACTTCCTCCTCCTAAGCCTCTGGAAATTCACTCTGCAGACAGCAATTTAGGCGGGCTCTTTCCTCCAGGGTCTCCCCTCCTGCACCGCTACGACTCACACTGGCCAGGGGCTCCATTTCTCCTGGTGCCATCAGATCGCCATGATGAACACTACAGCAACAAACCACCGTCTATGAGGCATTTTCGTAGCTTTCAGATGGTACCGTCGCTGCGGGCCCACCCAAGGGTGCACATTCAATCCCCACCCTCTCCACTGGCAAGCAACACCACCCCACCCACCCAGAGTCTCAGCAGGGCTGCCTCTCCTCTTCAGGGTTACCAAGATACCAACTCCGATGGCAACAATTTTCCCGGCTTACCAGATTACCAGAAGCAATGTTTTAAATGAATGGGTAACCTCGAGAGTGTGAAGGGGAGGAGGGGGGGGCAGAGTGAGCTCACAGAGGAGGTTAGCGCGGAACCTAGAGGAAAAGTCCAAAGGGGAGCACTGCCACCTGGAAAATAAAGTGAGGGTCAATTTTGTCCGCCTACAGCCCCCGCCTGCCAGACATACCAGTAACCGCTTGGACCGGTACCTTACCTCCTCAGTCACTCCCTAGACCACCCTCACACCCAGACCTGGGTTTCACCAGGCTGGGCCTGGCTGGACCCTGTCCCGGGCCGAGCCAGACTTACATACCGCCCTGGGCCAGAGCAGTCAGCCCCGCGAAGCTAAGTGCAGCTTCCACCACACGAGGCCTCATCCCCAGGAGGGCTCACAACCCTTTGTCTGGAAAAAAAGGGGACTGCTGGTATTGACAAGTTCAAGTCCTGCCCTCCCTGCCCACCTGCCCCCCTGCACCCCACTGCCTGCCTTCCAGCTCCTTTTCAAAGCACTGACTGACCAATTCTGCCTCCAGCTAGGGAGGCAAGACCCTCAACATCCTCCATCTGTCTCGGCCTTTCTCCTTCTACACAAACCAGGGCACTGGGGGCCTGCTCAGCCTACGCATGAGCGGTGCCCACCCAAAGGTGGAGATCCCCTTCTCCAGCAGACAGCTGCGACAGATAGGCCTGGAGGGTCGTCCTCCCCCTGGGTTACTGCGGGCCCTTTCAATACAGCTCTCCCCAGCACAATTTCCCCAAGATCTACTCCCCGTGTCAACCTTCCTTCTCTTGGCACCCCAAGTCCCCCAACCTCATCTAACTCTGCCATCTCTCTCAACGGTCTCCTAAGACCTAAACTGGCCAACTCCGACCCCCACAACTAAACCCAGGGCCCTGGCCCTCCCTGTCACTAACTTCTCGCTATGCTTCTTTAAAGACTCAGCATTTCATGTATTCTGACTTATAAAAACAGGAGATACAGGTCATGATCAAAGATTGTTTGCTTTGTTGAGTGAGCTCAAGGGTGACGTGTGAAAAGACTCCCAGCTGGTAAGAATATCAGTTTTATTGAATTTTAGCTTTGTGCCTTTAATGCTTTTAAACGACATATCACTCGACCAGAAATGATAGAACATTAACTAGCATAGTCACTATGGTTTCTTTGTTCTTTATCCCAGTGGCAGTATTCTTGCATCCTGGAAAGATACATCAACATTCACAGAAACAGACAATGCTAAATGAAAAACAATGTAGTCCATCCAGTCCCTTCTACTATTATTTTCCTATGTGCCCATCAGTCTTCTGGTCATACCGATTTCTCTTATTCTTAATGTCCTCTTCCAACATTCTCCAAGTGTTTCTCAAGTTTTATTTCCCTAATAACTTTTCCTTGTATCCATTCCTTGATACAACCAGCGTTTCTCATACCTTCAACTGCCAAATCTATATTAATAGTATTTACCATATCAATTCTTTATGGTAGACAGATGAATGGAGGAAGAAAGAGGGACATTTACTCCTAAAATCTTTCTCCCCAACTTCTCCCTCAAGTTCCAGATCCCCTTTTCCACCCCCAAGTTGGACATGAGCACCCAAATAAACCACCTGTACCTCAAACACTCAAATGGATTTTGGAATCACCTTTAAAAAAGTTTTATTGAGATATAATTGATATAAAATAAATTACACATATTTTAAGAATACAATTTGGTAAGCTTTGACATACGTATATACTCATGAAGCCATCGCTGCAATCAAGGGAGTAAACACATGCGTCATCACCTAAAGTTTCCTCATGTCTCTTTCTAATCCCTTCCTTTCCACTCTACTCTGCTCTTGCATCCCTCCCTGCCTCCCCAAACTGATTTGCTTTCTATCACTATAAATTTGTTTTCATTTTCTAGAGTTTTACACGAATGTAATCATCCAGTAGATACTCCTTTTAGATTGGCTTATTTTACTCAGTATAAATAGGAGTCACCCTTGTTGTTGACTCTATCTACAGGTCATTCCTTTTTGTAGTTGAGGAGTATTACACTGTATAGATATACAATAATTTGTTTATTCACCTACTGATGGGAATTTGGGTAGCTTACTATTTGGGACTGTAAATAAAGCTGCTATGAATATTTGTGCACAAATCTGTCTGTGGACAAGTATTTTCTTTTTTGGGGGGGTGGGTTAGTATCTTGGGGTGGAATGGCTGGATCATGCTATCTAGATCTATAGTTAACATATTAAGTAACTGACAAACTGTTTTCCAAAGTGAATGTACCTTTAAGAGTCTCAGTAGTATTTGAGAGTTCCAGTTTCTCCACATCCTGTCCAATACTTGCCATGGTCAATCTTTTAAATGTTAGTCATTCTAAAGTTTTTAATTTGCATTTTCCCAATAAATAATGATATTAGGAATATTTTCACTTAATTATTTTCCAGCTATGTATTTTCTTTGGCAAAGTGTCTATTCAAATCTTTTCCCATTTTTATTGGGTAGTTTCCTTATTATTGTTTCCAGTATTCTTTATAAATTCTGAAATAAAGTCCTTTATAGAATGCTTTCCAAGGATTTTTTCTAGTCTGTGGCTTTTTGTCCTTGCCTAACAGTGTCTACTGAAGAACAGAAATTTTGAATGTTGATGAAGTCTGATTTGCCAATTTGTCCTTTTACTGATTATCACTTTGGTGTCTTTTCTAAGAAATATTGCCTAACTCAAAGTCACAAAGATTTTCCCATTTTCTTCCATAATTTTTATAGTTGTAGGTTTTACATTTAGGTAAATGATCTGAGTTAGTTATTGTATATATGCATGGTATGGACACAAATTCTTCTCTAAATATGTATATATAGAGAGAGATACAACTATCTCCACACCATTTGTTGAAAAAACTCTCTCCAATTCATTGCCTTTACACTGATGTAAAAATATAGATCAATTGTTCATATATGTGTGTGTCTATTTCAGAACTCTCTATTCTGTTCTTTAGATATAATTGTCTTTCTTCATGCCAATACCAAATTTTTATTAATATAGCTTAGTAATAGTGCTTAACATCTGTTGGTGTAGCCTTCTAACTTTTATTATTTTTAAGCTGTTTCAGTTATTCTAATCTTTGGCATATCCATGTGAATCAGCTTGCCAATTTTTGCTGAGACTTTGATTGGGATTATATTGAATCTATAAATCAATCTGGGGGGAACTAACATCTCAACAATACTGGGTCTTCCCACCCAGGCACAAGGTATATCTCCCCATTTATTGACCTTTTTCATGTCTGTAAGCAATATTTAGTAGTTTTCAGTGCACAGGATCTGTACATCTTTGATCAGATATGTCCTTAAGTTTTCACATTTTTATGCTATTATAAATGGTATTTTGTTTTAATTTCAATTTTCAGTTGTTTGTTGCTTGGTATATGGAAGCACAATTTCCTCTTGTGAGGATCCAAAGTATGTTAAATATTCATTGTATAATAAAATTATTAAAAGTATGGCATATAGCAAGAAATATAAAAGTGTTTTATAAGTATCAACAAGGTCTAATAATAAATTAAATGGATCATATGTGTTTAGAGTATGTTCAGGAGAACAAAGGGTTATTAACAAAAGATAACTGAGATTTCTAATTGAGATGACTTAGATGGCAGCAACCTTGTTAATTGAGATGGTTAAAACAAGGAGATAAATGCACTTCATAGTGAAGACAATAAGTTTAGCTTTGAACATGTCATTTAGCAATGCCTTTTTGATATCAAGATAGAAAAATTTGGCAAGCAGTTGGAAACTAGATCACACAGAAAATAACCGTGGAGCTGGGTTTTTCAACTTAGCCAGAATCCAGAGACTGTCTCCTCTTGGGCACCACTTTCCACTGTCTCCCACTCAATGTTTAAGTTATTGTGCTGGGTACTATTTGGCAATCTCCAAAGCAAAATAATTTATAATATTCTACAAAAATTGATTAAGTAATGCTAGGTCTTCTGAAAGTATGCTAAGGGAGAGTTAGTTCAATGCTCAGTCCAAAGAATGTATTATCACTTAATACCTAATTCCACTGTTATTATAATACTCTTATTTTTAATATTTGCATTTCACTGTGGTATTATATTATTGAAAATTTATAATACATAATAGTATGATTTAACCTATGATTACAGTATAAACTTGAGTTCACTGTATTGCAATAGACATCTTTTGATGTTCAGTCTATATCATCATTTATATCTACAACTACCACTAATATTAGCTATGAAAGTGTCCCATGGGGAGTGATGTATGTGTATCTTTACAAGTGTGTATGCATAGGTAAGTATATGTATGTATGTATGTATATATATATACTTGTACACATGCCACTGCTGCTGCTGCTAAGTCCCTTCAGTCGGGTCTGACTCTCTGCAACCCCGTGGACTGTAGCCTGCCAGACTCCTCTGTCCATGGGATTTCCCAGGCAAGAATACTGGTGTGGGTTGCCATGCTCTCCTCCAGGGGACCTTACTGACTCAGGGATTGAACCTGTGTGTCTTATGTCTCCTGCATTAGCAGGTGGGTTCTTTACCACCCTGGAGATGTTTGTATACATATATATCACACATCAGGACATGCAACACACATAGGGAATAATGTCATAAAGTTTCTTTCAAGTTTTTAATATTTATTTCCCATTTTCTCTGCTGTCAGAACTTGTCTAAATATTAAAGTTTAGGGATAGCTGAATGAAATCTTTCAAGGGGGAAATTTTAAACGAGGAGAGAAGTAGTGGGAGATAGTCTTAGTTGTCCAGTTAGCTGACCAGTTAAGGTCTGTTCTTGTCCTCGGCTAAGAGATTTTCATAAATGCAGCCAAATTATAACTGCCAAGGAGAGATCATAAAAGTTAACCTTATCTTTCTAATTCTCTTCAGTTCCCTAGATGTACTGAATCCACCCAATAAAATTAATAAAGGAGCTACTATTGCAAATGGGATTTGAAGTCATGGGACCTGTGTTTGAATTCAATTCTGTCACATACTGAATGATCAAGAGCAATACAGTTAATCTTACTCAGAGTCTTTTACTTATTTTCCCTGTCTTTTACCACTCTTCCATTGCTCACTTCATTCCAGTCATATTGCGTCTCCTGTAATTCTATTTATTATGGCTCTTGAACACATTGAGGAACATCCTCTTCTCCAGGACTTCTTACTGTTTCTTCTGCCAGGGGTATTCTTCCTCTGGAATCCTTTGCTCAAATGTCACCTTATCAGAGGGAATTTTCCTGACTACTCTATATAAAGTAATATTCCTATACAACCCCCATATTTCCCTATTCCTTTTACCCTGCTTAACTTTCTCTGTAGAACTGACATAAACGTATATTTATTTGTTTATTGTCTGTCTTGCCCACTAATACATAAGCTCTATGAGAATGAGGATTTTGTTTAGTTCATTACATATCCTCAATGCCTGTTGCAGAGCAAGGCATTAATAAGTACATGTTGAATGAACATATTAAATTAATTAATAATAGTAAATTTCCTATCTATGTCATAAAATTGTAAAAACCAAATGGCTATGTAAAGGCTCTCTGCAGATGGCTGCACAAAAGAGGTGCTCTTCCTACAGTGAAGAGATTATTAAATGATATTTTCACAGCCAAGGAGTATTTTCAATAGCCAAATAAATGCCAACTCAAAAGATCAGGAAGAAATTAGCCATACCTCTCATATACATGCCCTAATATAGAAGAATCAGTTAGGAAATATAAAAGTCAATCACATCTAGTCTTTTAAGAACATTTTTCCCAATATTAAGAACTAGTCAGTCAACTAGTCAGCTTTTAGTTCTTAGAAAGTTAAATGTTTCAAAATTATCTGTTTCCTATTCCAGAGCAACTACAAATCAAAATAGCATTCAAGTCAATTATAA